GCCGTACTTTGGCCAATTCGGGCGTGGAGGAGAAAGGGCGTCGATTGGGATGAAGATGGCATATTATAGAGCCGCATGGGCCTCCAGGTGTATGATTAACGGTTTACTGCGTGAAGCCTGGTCGTTTTTCCGGTAAATGCTCACTTTTTGAAAAAAGACAAATTTCCACTTCACTAAAAAGTGGAAGTGTTGCTAGAGCGGTCTTCGTCAAAAAATCCAAGTATACAAATGAACTTATTCATTTACGTATTTGGATGAGGGCGGTCGCCTGCTGCATAATTCACTTGTTTCTGACTTTTCGGTAAAGATGAGTATTTATCAAGCCTACCTGCAAGGAATTTCACCTTCAAACAGAAAAATCCCACTTGAAAGTAGAATATTCCACCGAATTTTCAGCCTCGCAGCTTATCCAGTGAAATATCCACTTCGCTACAAAATATCTTTGAAGTGCCCTAACTCGTGACGCAGGTGCAAATCGGTACACATTTTAGGAATACTATTTCCTATATGGGCGACAAACATGCTAACAAAATTTCAGCTACTGTTTTTTGGCAAGTTTTCAAGTTAGCATAGTACCAATTTGCAAATGTTAACGTGATCGTACGCGCCTCACAATCGTGCTCGACAGCTGAATTTGAAATCTTTAACTCGCCCATACATAGAGAATATTCACACAAAGTTTCAGCCTTGTAACTTGGCTGGTTCGCAAAATCGTTTCCTGCCAAAGAAATTTGCATATTTTTTTGGGGAGCCGTATTTGGGGTTCAGGCGTGCATGGGGGGAAAATCTTAAAACGGTTGAGTGACACACGGGGTAGGAACATATATCCAAAATTTAAGCCTCTCACCTCTCCTGTTTGCTGAGATAAAAGTGGATGACAAAGTTCACTCGTTTGTTACCCCCGCTTCAAAATATTCCCCCACACACGCCTAGATCCCGCGTACGGGCCCTTCAAAAAAATATGCAAATTTCTTTGGCGGAAAATGATTTCGCGAACCAGGCAAGTTTGAAAGCTGAAACTTCACAGGAATGTTCTCTCTGCACGTGCGAGCTAAAAATTTTAAACCCAGCTGTCGAGCACGATTGTGAAGCGTGTACGATCACGTCAAAATTTGCAAATTGGTACTGGGTTAACTCGAAAACTTGCCAGAAAACAGTGGCTGAAATTTTGTTAGCATGTTTGTCGCCCATATAGGAAACAGTATACCTA